ATATATATATATATATATAATCATATATACATATTATATATATATATATATATATATATATATATATATTATATATATATAAAATATTAATACATATATACATATATACATATTATTACAGTACATATATATATATATTATATATATATATATATATTATATATATATATATATATATATATTATATATATATACAATATATAAAATATATATATATATATTATATATATATATATATATATATATATATATATATATATATATATATATATATATATATATATATTTATATAGGTAGTAGGTTGGTAGACAGCAACCACCCAGGGAAGTACTACCGTCCTGCAGATGACTGTGAAACAGAAACCTGTAACTGTTTTGCATGATGGTAGGATTGCTGGTGTCTTTTTCTGTCTCATAAACACGCTAGATAACGGGGATATCTTGCTACTCCAACTTACACTTTGGTCACACTTCACAGACATGCACATGCATATATATATACATACATCTAGGTTTTTTCTCCTTATTCTCATAGCTCTTGTTCTTCTTTATTTCTTCTATTGTCCATGGGGAAGTGGAAAGAATCTTTCCTCCGTAAGCATGCGTGTCGTATAAGGCGACTAAAATGCCGGGAGCAATGGGCTAGTAACCCCTTCTCCTGTAGACATTTACTAAAAATGAGAAGAAGAAAAACTTTATAAAACTGGGATGCTTGAATGTGCGTGGATGTAGTGCAGATGACAAGAAACAAATGATTGCTGATGTTATGAATGAAAAGAAGTTGGATGTCCTGGCCCTAAGCGAAACAAAGCTGAAGGGGGCAGGGGAGTTTCGGTGGGGGGAAATAAATGGGATTAAATCTGGAGTATCTGAGAGAGTTAGAGCAAAGGAAGGGGTAGCAGTAATGTTGAATGATCAGTTATGGAAGGAGAAAAGAGAATATGAATGTGTAAATGCAAGAATTATGTGGATTAAAGTAAAGGTTGGATGCGAGAAGTGGGTCATAATAAGCGTGTATGCACCTGGAGAAGAGAGGAATGCAGAGGAGAGAGAGAGATTTTGGGAGATGTTAAGTGAATGTATAGGAGCCTTTGAACCAAGTGAGAGAGTAATTGTGGTAGGAGACCTGAATGCTAAAGTAGGAGAAACTTTTAGAGAGGGTGTGGTAGGTAAGTTTGGGGTGCCAGGTGTAAATGATAATGGGAGCCCTTTGATTGAACTTTGTATAGAAAGGGGTTTAGTTATAGGTAATACATATTTTAAGAAAAAGAGGATAAATAAGTATACAAGATATGATGTAGGGCGAAATGACAGTAGTTTGTTGGATTATGTATTGGTAGATAAAAGACTGTTGAGTAGACTTCAGGATGTACATGTTTATAGAGGGGCTACAGATATATCAGATCACTTTCTAGTTGTAGCTACACTGAGAGTAAAAGGTAGATGGGTTACAAGGAGAATAGAAGCATCAGGGAAGAGAGAGGTGAAGGTTTATAAACTAAAAGAGGAGGCAGTTAGGGAAAGATATAAACAGCTATTGGAGGATAGATGGGCTAATGAGAGCATAGGCAATGGGGTCGAAGAGGTATGGGGTAGGTTTAAAAATGTAGTGTTAGAGTGTTCAGCAGAAGTTTGTGGTTACAGGAAAGTGGGTGCGGGAGGGAAGAGGAGCGATTGGTGGAATGATGATGTAAAGAGAGTAGTAAGGGAGAAAAAGTTAGCATATGAGAAGTTTTTACAAGGTAGAAGTGATGCAAGGAGGGAAGAGTATATGGAGAAAAAGAGAGAGGTTAAGAGAGTGGTGAAGCAATGTAAAAAGAGAGCAAATGAGAGAGTGGGTGAGATGTTATCAACAAATTTTGTTGAAAATAAGAAAAAGTTTTGGAGTGAGATTAACAAGTTAAGGAAGCCTAGAGAACAAATGGATTTGTCAGTTTAAAAATAGGAGAGGAGAGTTATTAAATGGAGAGTTAGAGGTATTGGGAAGATGGAGGGAATATTTTGAGGAATTGTTAAATGTTGATGAAGATAAGGAAGCTGTGATTTCGTGTATAGGGCAAGGAGGAATAACATCTTGTAGGAGTGAGGAAGAGCCAGTTGTGAGTGTGGGTGAAGTTCGCGAGGCAGTAGGTAAAATGAAAGGGGGTAAGGCAGCCGGTATTGATGGGATAAAGATAGAAATGTTAAAAGCAGGTGGGGATATAGTTTTGGAGTGGTTGGTGCAATTATTTAATAAATGTATGGAAGAGGTAAGATACCTAGGGATTGGCAGAGAGCATGCATAGTTCCTTTGTATAAAGGCAAAGGGGACAAAAGAGAGTGCAAAAATTATAGGGGGGTAAGTCTGTTGAGTATACCTGGTAAAGTGTATGGTAGAGTTATTATTGAAAGAATTAAAAGTAAGACGGAGAATAGGATAGCAGATGAACAAGGTAGGGGGTGTGTGGACCAGGTGTTTACAGTGAAACATATAAGTGAACAGTATTTAGATAAGGCTAAAGAGGTCTTTGTGGCATTTATGGATTTGGAAAAGGCGTATGACAGGGTGGATAGGGGGGCAATGTGGCAGATGTTGCAGGTGTATGGTGTAGGAGGTAGGTTACTGAAAGCAGTGAAGAGTTTTTACGAGGATAGTGAAGCTCAAGTTAGAGTACATAGGAAAGAGGGAAATTATTTCCCAGTAAAAGTAGGCCTTAGACAAGGATGTGTGATGTCACCGTGGTTGTTTAATATATTTATAGATGGGGTTGTAAGAGAAGTAAATGCGAGGGTCTTGACAAGAGGCGTGGAGTTAAAAGATAAGAATCACACATAAAGTGGGAGTTGTCACAGTTGCTCTTTGCTGATGACACTGTGCTCTTGGGAGATTCTGAAGAGAAGTTGCAGAGATTGGTGGATGAATTTGGTAGGGTGTGCAAAAGAAGAAAATTAAAAGTGAATACAGGAAAGAGTAAGGTTATGAGGATAACAAAAATATTAGGTGATGAAAGACTGGATATCAGATTGGAGGGAGAGAGTATGGAGGAGGTGAATGTATTCAGATATTTGGGAGTGGACGTGTCAGCGGATGGGTCTATGAAGGATGAGGTGAATCATAGAATTGATGAGTGGAAAAGGGTGAGTGGTACACTTAGGAGTCTGTGGAGACAAAGAACTTTGTCCTTGGAGGCAAAGAGGGGAATGTATGAGAGTATAGTTTTACCAACACTCTTATATGGGTGTGAAGCATGGGTGATGAATGTTGCAGCGAGGAGAAGGCTGGAGGCAGTGGAGATGTCATGTCTGAGGGCAATGTGTAGTGTGAATATTATGCAGAGAATTCGTAGTTTGGAAGTTAGGAGGAGGTGCGGGATTACCAAAACTGTTGTCCAGAGGGCTGAGGAAGGGTTGTTGAGGTGGTTCGGACATGTAGAGAGAATGGAGCGAAACAGAATGACTTCAAGAGTGTATCAGTCTGTAGTGGAAGGAAGGCGGGGTAGGGGTCGGCCTAGGAAAGGTTGGAGGGAGGGGGTAAAGGAGGTTTTGTGTGCGAGGGGCTTGGACTTCCAGCAGGCGTGCGTGAGCGTGTTTGATAGGAGTGAATGGAGACGAATGGTTTTTAATACTTGACGTGCTGTTGGAGTGTGAGCAAAGTAACACTTATGAAGGGGTTCAGGGAAACCGGCAGGCCGGACTTGAGTCCTGGAGATGGGAAGTACAGTGCCTGCACTCTGAAGGAGGGGTGTTAATGTTGCAGTTTAAAAAACTGTAGTGTAAAGCACCCTTCTGGCAAGACAGTGATGGAGTGAATGATGGTGAAAGTTTTTCGTTTTCGGGCCACCCTGCTTGGTGGAATCGGCCAGTGTGATAATAAAAAAAAATGTTATTTATATATATATTATATATATATATATATATATATATTATATATAAATATATATATATATATATATATATATTATATATATATAATATTATATTATAATATATATTATATATATATATATATATATATATATTATATATATATATAATTATATATATATATATATATATATATATATATATATATATATATATATATTATATATATATATATATATATATATACATACATATATATATATATATATATATTATATATATATATATATATATATATATATATATATATATATATATATATATATATATATTATATATATATATATATATAATATAACATTACTTGTGTTTCCCCAGGAGCATCGCGTTCTGATCCCAAAGGAGGAAATGCTGAAGAAGATACCACGGCGTTCAGTGGTGTTCTTTGTGCACCCGGATAACCCCGTGCTTGTGAAGCCCATCGACGGCTCTACTAGCTACGACCCTGTAACAGTCAAGATGCACATTGATAAGCGTTTTGAAGACACCTACCAATACTGAAGATCGTACCAGATGTGTGTGCGCTTGCAGCCTCCTACAACACCGCTACGCATGTCAAAGCTGGAGGTCTCCATCGTTCATATTTCTCTAAAAAGCCTCCATTCAGAAATTAATCACAGTCATATAGTAGGAACAATTAATAACGAACCACCATAATTTGGAAAAGAAACTAGATACCATTTCGGTTTGGACCCAGAATGCACAGAAACTTCATCCCGCTTTCAGTTTAAGTTTTTAAGTTAGGTGTGAAAAGTCCATCCATTTCTGTCGCCCCATGTTACTGGGCATCAGTGTGTTAGCTTTACCATGTACATGCAGCCACTTCAATATCATTGAAATAACGTTTAAAATCGCTATTCAACCTTTGACAATAAGACGTCAGTTTCAGGAAAAAAAATTAAGTACAGTAAAACCCCCGTATCCATGAATTCTGTTGCAGCGGTTTCAGTTATGCACGGTTTACAGTAGCCCGAAAATAAATGGCCTCTAAGCGCAAAAGTAGTGATGGTGTCAGTTCTTCTAAGCCTTAGAGAAGCCTTGAAGTGCTTCCCATCAGTAGAAAGTGCTAATTCTCGACTTATTCTGCGTAATTTATCAATTAAGATTTATCAAGGTTATGTATGTAAACGAGAAACTACTTATAAGGTTCGTTACCATCCACAATTTCGGGTATCCACGGAAAGTCTTGGAACGTATTCCCGCAGATACGGGGGAATACTGTATTCATTTTGGCGTGTGCGCGTGTGTAGCTGCTTCACACTATCATATGATACACAGTTATTAAGACATTCAGCCCTTCACGTCTTTTACTTTTTATGGCAATCAAATAATTCCCCCTTCTTAATTACCTGAAGTATTACAATCATTAGCGTAGCATTTATATAATTTGCTACCCTCAAGTTAAGTTCTGTTATATATAAAACTGTGTAAAGTTCATTAAAATAGTTGAATTTTACATACTGGTAGATAGGCTTTTATTTTAAAAGTAAAATATCCAAGAACTTGTTGCCACAGCTACACAGTGATTCTTATAGCATATATTCTGCTTAATCTTTCTTTGGGCCCTTTCTAGTTTGTAAAGGAGACCAATATGTATGTATGTATATGTATATTAGAGTTAATAACTTTTTTACAGAGTAATATTCCTGTACCTTAATCAGATGAACTTTTACCTAAAAGCTAAGAAATGACCTTTCATTTCAATATCTTTTTAGAAAATGTCGTCCCTAGATGAAAAAAAAACGAGTAACGAAAACAAGTAACTTGAATGCATATTGCATGTAATATTAATAACAAATAAAACAGCTTACAGCATCATTGTTGTCGTGTGTGTATATATATTACTACTTATTGCTTAGAATAAAAGGAAGTTGCAGTTTGTTTTTGTTTCTGCAGACAACATACAGTTCCTGCATAACTTTAATTGCACGTTCAGCACACTGATTACTTCTTGGTATATTGAGTTCGGACGCCTCCTGCTTCCAGTAATTTTCAATGAGTTCAGTGCTTTTTTGTAAGGTTTCAATATTTCTGACAAATTCTTGAAGTCATTTTCATCGTACATCTGATTAGCAAACCAATAATCTGTCCAGGTGTATGAAATGAATCTACATATCTTCTCCAAAGTCTTCCGTCTTGTAGGTATAAGAATGAATTCAAGAATAGCTAGGATGGCTCTTGAATTCCACTTCGCATTGTTGATGTTTGAAATCTTCTGAAAGTTAATCAAGGGGAAGTGCCCCTTTTCTTCAAAGGATCTAAACACTCGTGATAGATGATACAAAAAAACTTCATATCATCTCTCTATCCTGATTTATGGAGGATCTCTTCTGTTCCATTAACGAACTGTACCTTTAGTTCCTCATAATTATTCACCAGTTGGGGTACAAATGGATACTCGATGTTTGGAGAACTGGTTTTAGCACCAAGATTTTCATCCATTACCAAACGAAGAATCCTGTCCAGAACGTGATGCTGACAACTGAAAAGTTGTGGTTTGCTAATCCCCTTCTCTGAGAAAATTCGTTGCAGTTTATCAACATCTCCACACTTTTTCCCTGTGTTAGCGTTTGTTGAATCAGCAATAACCATCTTTGTTGCAATCCATAAGTTGTATTCATGAATAACTTTTGTCATTCCTTCAGTAATAGTTTCAGCCTTGTCATCTTTCAAATGTAGTGAATCAGGTTTTACTTCGGTTCTTTCATTTTTTAGTACTAATACCTGATACTCATTTTCCTCAATGAGCTTTCCATCGAGATGTAAAGACCATTCTTCTTAGGCTATACCTGTAAATATATTGTCAGACAAGCTGTGCTCACTGATACACTCCTCGATGAAATACAATGAGAAAATGATAACAACAATAGTAGACGCCAGTATATAGAGTTGCCAATTAGTAATTTTCTGAGTTGCTACTTAAGATTAGTAACGTAAATATATGGTGATTAATATTTTTCATTAAATTGAGTTGCCAATTAATCCTTTCCTGAGTTGCTACTTATGAATAGTAACGCAGATATATGGTGATTCATAGTTTTTATGTAGGTGGGACCTTTTTTGAAAACTGATAGGAATTAGGGACTTTTTCATTCTTTTTAAACAAAAGTTCATCGATTTATGACACAGGGGATATTTATTTGGAAAAAAGTAAAAAAGTTATAACCCTAATGTATATATATAATTAAAATACCTAGATTGTTTTTAAATAATGCAGTAAGTCTTGGTAGGTTTTTTACCCTCAGATATGTTTGAGTTTTTCATTTTGCATTTTTTGCATATTTTAAATATGCTTTATAAATAACTTTTTTCCACATTCTCGGAGGTTCACACCGAAATCCCATTAAATGAATCGTCAAATAGTTTGTCATTTGACAAACTGGGTCAAAACATTCAAATTGAATATTTTAAGACAACATATTTTGCTTTATTAGACCAGATTTTTACAGTGTCTTATACTCATTGGTACAACTTTACCTGTTTCAGTCACTGCTCGATCCCACAGAGGTATCCCCTTTATCAGCTCCTTTGTTAATGTATGCAAGATGCATAGCGGTTATATCTCGAAACTTTCAAGAGTAAAGGAGAGCAGCTCAATTCCGTCAAAAGACCTCTGTACCATAATTCAACCCTCGTAAAAAGGTCCTGGAGCCTTCAAGAAACCGAAGATCTCAGTACACTCAAGAAGCCCAGGAGTTCACTCTTATGCGGAAACCAACTGATAGATCTTTATGAAACCGATGGCAATTGTTCTTTTATCCAAGAAGATGTGATTAAGAACAGCCTTTTTTTTTGCATAAAAGCTTGAATAAACTTAATTTTTCCACTTTACTAATAAAACAGAGCAAAATACACAAGTAGTGACAGCTGCTGTATAATCCTTACGGGTTTAGCGCTACCCCCATGATGATAATACAAGCAGTATCAGTTTGAATTTGATCTGAAAGTATATTCAGCAATTATCACATGGAAACCACTAATTTATATATTTTTTTAACGTTTTTCCAAGAGTTATATATGGCGATTTAAAGGGGTCCTGCAAGCAACCATGCGAAAAAAAATGTACAAGTTTTCTCCCTTTTACTTTACAAGATTTCGGTAATTTAAATTTATTAATTTTCAAATGGAAAATAAATTTCATATTCTTAAAATTTAAACATATGCGTTAAAGATTTATATTTATAGTTTTCTCATGTAATAGTTTGATGATAAAAAGAAGAATTTGAAGGGAAAAAAAATCTTGCATTCTGGTAAAAAACTAACTTTCAATATTGTTTTTTTGGTTATTCATTAATTAGCGAGATAACCCAGAAAGAGACTCTCGTTTGGGCAAAGTACTTTTTCCAGATGCCAATTAGTAAAATTTTGAACTGGTCATTTGCTATCTATCCAAAAGATAGTAAAGATGGGTAATGTTTGTCTATTTAACAGTCCTTGTTATGTTTTACGTCATAATGATTTATTTATGCAGACACGAGTAAGGTCATATTAAAGGAAAACATAAGTGATATAAATAATTTAAAACCCACATGTGAACTATAGTGTATTTGTGAATGAATTTATGTCTGCATAAATAACTCTTTACGGTGGTAGACCAGATCATAATCATGTAAATAGAGTTCATTACTCGAGTAGTTTGCCTAACCATTAAAATTTTAGAGCCTAGTCAATTGACCCATTATGTGCCACAGGATTAGCATAGGTGCATAATGTAGTTATTAAACTAACTTTGAGGTCAACAAACTCACTCGACATGTCAAAAAAAAAATCGCCATTGCTGCTTTTTCCCAAATAGAAACCGAAAATAAATTTAAAAATTTAAAATATTTGAACGTAGAACCAGGATCATGAAGAAAATATAATTATGTAACTCAGTAAATGAAATGACCATCACGGAGGTTCTTAACAGGGAAAACAAATTAAATATATCATTATTATCTCATATGATCATCTTCAATGACAATAGAAGTTACATTTTTCAGAAACTTAAAATATGTAATGGAAGAATTAAATATTTCTAGAATGATTAATAAAATGATCAGATATATCATACGTGTCACGATTAATGATTATTGCTTCTTTTATATCGCATTGCATGAATGCACAGAGAGTGCTGATGATTTGTTATTATGCTTATCAAGCTCACGGGTTTCTATGACCATGGAGCTCAACAAAAACATAGAGTGGGCTTAATGTATCTCGTGTCAGGTCATAAATTGTCAATAGATATAAAACGCCTTTTCAGAATATCAAACTCTTTTTAAAGATACTGAAATATTTAATTAGTTTGTGTTTAGACTTGCAGTCCATATCATGCTGCTTGGTGACAGAAACACTATTGCAGAATTATGACATACAGTGAAGACTAATGATATAATAACTGTTGCGATAGATTCGGAGAGCAGAGAAAAAGAGGTTTGAGATTTCTAATGCTGAGGCTGCCAGTACCGTCGAGGAGACTTGACGTAGTTGAGGTGGAGCAATTAATGTACTACCCAGCAAATGTTTCTTCTGCTGCAAATAGTCGGGGAACTTCCACCAAGCTACCACCATCATCTTAATCAGTGGGTGAAGGCATACCTTCTACAACTGCAAGACACAGTACTGCTTGGCAAGCTGAGTGATGATATCTTAGAACATAAGAACATAAGAACGAAGGAACACTGCAGCAGGCCTACTGGCCCATGCGAGGCAGGTCCAAGTCTCCTACCGGCTTAAGCCAATGCACCCAACCTAGTCAGGTCAGGTCACATTGACTTAAGGGAGAACACGGCAACGTCCTGGTAGCACAAGCTAATCAGGTCCAACTCACACCCACCCACACCCACTCATGTATTTATCCAACCTATTTTTAAAGCTACACAACGTTCTGGCCTCTATAACTGTACTTGGGAGTTTGTTCCACTCATCCACAAACTCTATTACCAAACCGTACTTTCTATATCCTTCCTGAATCTGAATTTTTCTAACTTAAAACCATTGCTGCGAGTCCTGTCTAGGCTAGATATTTTCAGCACACTATTTACATCCCTTTATTTATTCCTGTCTTCCATTTATACACCTCAATCATATCCACCCTAATTCTACGTCTTTCTAGAGAGTGAAGATTCAGGGCCCTTAGTCTATCCTCATAGGGAAGGTTTCTGATACATGGGATCAACTTTGTCCTCCTCCTTTGTACATTTTCCAGAGCATTTATATCCATTCTGTAATACGGTGACCAAAACTGTGCAGCATAATCTAAATGAGGCCTAACCAAGGATGTATAGAGTTGAAGAACAACCTGAGGACTCCTATTATTTATGCTTCTTGATATAAAGCCAAGGATTCTATTAGCTTTATTGCGAACACTTATGCACTGTTGTCTTGGTTTCAGATTACTGCTAACCAGAACTCTTAAATCTTTTTCGCAATCCGTAATATTAAGATCTACATTATTTAGTTTATATGTGGCGTGGTTATTGTCCTGTCCAACATTTAGAACTTTGCATTTGTCTATATTAAACTGCATCTGCCACCTCTCCGACCACTGCATCAGTCTACTCAAATCTTCCTGCAGTGCTCTAATGTCCTCGTCAGAATGAATTCGACGGCCTATTTTGGTGTCATCGGCAAACTTGCTGATGTCGCTCTTTATGCCCTCATCTATGTCGTTTATGTATATTGTGAACAGCAGGGGGCCCAACACTGACCCCTGTGGAACACCGCTCGTGACGCTTCCCCACTCTGATTTCTCCCCATTTATGCAAACTCTCTGCTGCCTATTTGTCAACCATGCCTCTATTCAGGAAAAAATTTCTCCTCCTATTCCATGTGCCTTAATTTTCCTCAATAGTCTCTGATGTGGGACCCTGTCAAAAGCCTTACTGAAGTCCATGTACACAATATCATATTCATTACCATGATCTACCTCCTCAAATACTTTAGTGAAAAAAGTTTAAAAAATTTTCGTAAGGCAGGAACGCTCCTTTGTAAAACCATGCTGAGATTCTTTGATTAATTTATGCTTTTCAAGGTTGGCTACGAACTGCCTCGGCAATTATTGATTCCATAAATTTTCCCACTATGGAGGTTAGGCTTATTGGTCTATAGTTTGAAGCTAAGGACCTGTCACCTGCTTTGAAAATAGGTATCACATTTGCAATTTTCCACTTATCTGGCACCATGCCAGTTTGTAGTGATATGTTGAAAAGATTAGCCAAAGGTTTGCTAAGCTCCTCTTTACATTCCTTTAGAACCCTTGCGTACAGTTCATCAGGGCCTGGGGATTTGTTAGGTTTTAATTTATCTATTTGCCTAAGGACCATGTCACTTGTGACCCTAATCGTGCACAGTTTATTATCGTCCTGTTCCACATAATTTATCATTTCTGGAATATCGCTGGTATCCTCCTGTGTAAAAACTGAGAGGAAGTATATGTTATAACTTCTACACATTTCCTTATCACTGTCAGTGAGCTGACCCGATGAACTTTTGAGTGGGCCTATCTTGTCCCTGATCTTATTTCTGTATACCTGAAAGAATCCTTTTGGGTTAGTCTTCGAATCTCTTGCAACTTTAACCTCATAATCTCTTTTTGCTTTTGTAATTCCTTTTTTTATTTCTCTCTTTAACTGAATATATCGATTTCTTAATTGCCCCTCTCCTCTTTTGATTTGCTATATATGCCTCTCTTTTGACCAATTAGATATTTTAATCTATTGTTCATCCATTTAGGATCATTTTGTTTGTTCTGATTTCCCTATTTGGAACATAATTTGACTGAGCAGCTAGAACTATGCCCTGGAAAGCGTCATATCGGCATCCATCACCACCTACCTGACCCTTAGTCAGGTCATTCCAGTTCAACCCACCTAAGTAATTTTTCAGTCCTATGAAATCAGCCAAGCGGAAGTCAGGGACAGAGACTTGATTGCCATTATTAGGGGAATTCCATGATATATTAAAACTGAGTGATTTGTGATCACTTTCCCCAAGCTCATCATTAACCTCAAGATTATTAATTAGTGTTTCCCTACTGGCAAGAACCAAGTCAAGGAGGTTATTTCCCCCTAGTTGGCTCTGTTTAGGAAGGAGGTTACCACACCACTTCGAAAAGAGGAACCCTGATGGTGGTGAGGGACTTTCAATTTTAAGAATTGGAACTACCCTCCCTGACCTTGTACAGAAGATGATCGCCTCCCATTTCCTTACAGATATATGACTCCATGAGTCTGGCGTTTCTCCATGCATGCACTAATAATTTACCAATCGAAATGCTTGGCATCTCTTAACGACAAAGCAGGCTGAGGTCCATCAGATATGATGTTAGAAACGAAAGAACAGTAGCTTCAAGGTATCGCCTCTACTGAGATATATTCGCTGGTATAATCTATATTTAATTTTTAAAACAATTTTTTAACTGAGGTCCTGACAAACAGTACCATGGTCATCTCAAGTAACTAGGAACAGAAATTTCAACTTACCTTGAGAATACACTTCCCACTTCATGATATGCAAGCATGCACGGAGTGACGTGAATTTTTTTGTTCGTGTCCAGCATAAATATAGACAAAACACTCAGAATGGCAAAAGCCATGGCCTTGAAACATTAGAGA